TATTGTACTATTTAGAGATAGTGTCTCACTCTGTTTCTCAGGAGGGAGTGCAATGACATGATCACAACTCACTGCAGCCTTGACCTCCCAGGTATAAGTGAGCCTCCTGCCTCGCCTCCTGAGTAGCTGGGACCACAAATGTACACAGCCATGCCGGCTCCTTTTTTTGTTTTTTGTTTTTTTTTTTTTGGAGATGGAGTTTCGCTCTTGTTACCCAGGTTGGAGTGCAATGGCGTGATCTTGGCTAACTGAAACCTCCACCTTCTGGGTTTAGGCAATTCTCCTGCCTCAGCCTTTTGAGTAGCTGGGACTACATGCGTGTGCCACCATGCCCAGCTAAGTTTTTGTATTTTTAGTAGACTCAGGGTTTCACCATGTTGACCAGGATGGTCTGGATCTCTTTTTTATTTTTTTATTTTTTGAGATGGAGTTTCGCTCTTCTTACCCAGGCTGGAGTGCAATGGCCCAATATCGGCTCACTGTAACCTCCGCCTTCTGGTTCAAGCAATTCTCCTGCTTCAGCCTCCTGAGTAGCTGGGACTACAGGCACGCCACCATGCCCAGCTAATTTTTGTATTTTTAGTAGAGACGGGGTTTCACCTTGTTGACCAGGATGGCCTTGATCTCTTGACCTCGTGATCCACCTGCCTCGGCCTCCCAAAGTGCTGGGATTACAGGCGTGAGCCACCGTGCCCGGAAAAGTTGTTTTTTTTTATTTTAGAGATGGGGTTTCACCACGTTAGCCAGGATGGTCCTGATCTCCCCACCTGGTGATCCGCCCACCTCGGCCTCCCAAAGTGCTGAGATTACAGGCATTGCGTGAGCCACCCCGCCCGGCCAAGGGGCTCTTTCTTTTTCCTCTCTCTGCCAACTGTCTGGTTATAGCACACTAAATATGTCCCAAGAAGTACCCCCTACGTTTGGGTGTGGTTGATCTGTCCCTTGACATAAGTAACTCTATCACTTCCTGTGTAGCTTGGATGGAGGGCCTGCTCTCTGTCTCCAAGGCCACCTCCCAGCCTCTTCCCCCACCACACTACCTCACTACTGCTTTTCTGCCCTCCAGCCACATGGGCCTCCCCTTCTAGCCTCAGAGCTTCCCCCACAGCTCTGCCTTCTGCCTTCTGCCCTCTGTCTGGGATACACCTCCTCCCATAGACTTACCTGTTCTGACTGCCTCCTATTCATCTGGTTACTGGCTCATGGTAGGGTCCTAGGACCCCTACCCCCTCCCCACACTTGCTGGTCTCTCCCCCGGAAGACTGCCCCTCATAAGAGGGCTACAAATCCGCTGTGTGTCCATGGGGTCAGTGACCTGTTTTTCTACACACTGTCGTTCCCAGAGGCCAGGGACATGCCTAGTTCTCCTGACCATCACGTGGGCACTGCCTGAGACAGCCCTGACATACCTCGGGGTTCCAGGCTGGGGGAAACCCTGCTTTCACTCGGGGTCAGTTGAGGGCTGAGTATAGAAAGGGCTACGTGCCGGCCTGAGGCAGAAGGCCAAGTGCCAGCCTCCCGCCCTCCCTGACGGGTGCTCCAAGATGCCCAGGAGCTGCTGCTCTGGCTGAATGACACCTCACAATTCACAGTGCTGACAGCTCTGGCACAGATGTCACTCAACTTAGAACACATCTGAACTCAGGAGCAGCTGGTTTGCAGGAAAGCATTGCTCACCCACTTTACAGATGAGCAAGCAGGTTTGAGAGAAGGTATGGTTGCGTAATATGCCTGAGGCTCTGTCATGACCATCGCAGAGCCCTGACCCGAAGCCCCGCTTCTAACAGCTCACACTCTAGCACCAGACTTGAGCCAACACAGGCCTGGGGGCAGCTGGAAGCCTTACACACCCTGTGCTTGGCCAGTGTGGACACTGTGCCCGTGGTGGTTACACTGGCTCACAGTGCGTGGGCACAGTGGGTCCCAGGCAGCTCCCTCAGCATAATCTTTTACCCTCACTGAAAATCTCCGAGGTGTTAGGTGGCTCAGTTGGCACACAGGGAGATTCAGACACAGAGAAGTTAGTAGCCTCACCCTGGGCTGCACAGTGGCTAAGGGACAGAGCAAGAACTCAAACGCTCCAGTCCTAACCAGCAGGCCAGCTGCCACCAGGAGAGGGCTGGGATTCCACAGCAGATGGCTCATTTCCATGTCCCATTTGCCCCCCACTTCACCCATGATGGGAGGGTCAGATGCAGTGAGAAGCCAGGCTTGCAGCCCCAAGCCTGTGTACCTTGGAGTGGGGGCCGTGTGTGGTGGTGGGTGGGCTGCCAGTCTCACTCTCAATGCAGGCATAGACCTCCATCTTGTGGCACTGCAGAGCCTGCAAGAGACAGGGTGCCAAGATCAGGGGCAGGTGTGCAGAAGGACAGTCCCCGGACCCAGCAGCTGGCCTCCCTGCCTGTTACACACTCCGCCATGGGAGCCCAGGGGAGGGTGGAGCCCGGCCACACCTTTGCACCTGCCACCCAGAGTCACCTCACCCCTTCCCTACCTGTGTAGGGCTGACTCCTCTCTGTTCTCTGCCACCTCCCTAAGCCTGCTTCAGGACTCCAGTTAAGCCTTGTGCTCCACCTGGCAGGTTTTATCCAGGCTTCCACCTGGCTGGCCAGAGGAAGGGCCAGGTCTCCTGCTGTCCCTGCCTGTCTCTAGGCTCTCAAAGGCCTGGCAGCCAGCAGGCCCCTGCAATGACACCTGTGGCCACTGCTCCAATAGGATGCCTCCCTGAACTCTGCCTTCCCACCCCTGCTCAAAGCCCAGGCTCCTGTGAGGGTCCTCCCACCCACCCACACCTTCTACATCTCCCGCCCCCAGCCTGTACTCAAGGATAACCAGGCACCCACTGGGGTCACACTACCTGGCCATTGGGCCGGTACCCTGTTGGGGGACTCCAGAGTCCTGTCACTTTCCTTTCATTCCCCTCAGCCACTCCTCCTAGGCCCCCTGGGCTGTAGCCATAATCCATATTCCCTGGAGCTCTTAAGCTCCTGCCATCCACTCTCTGACCACGGGCTCTCCACAGCCCAAGCCTCCTCCCAGGAAACCCGAGTGAGTGTCGAGCTCAGCTGCAGTTGGAGGCCCTGCCCCGGGCCTCATGGCTCCTGTACTGGATCATGTCAGAATCCTGCTCCCACCAGCATCTCACCAGACTAGGAGCCCCTTGAGGGCAGGGACCATGCCTAGTTGTCTCTGGGTTCCTGATCCCACAGCTGTGCTTAGCACCCAACAAGTTATCATGAGGGGCTTCCTCATCACTCAGGTGTCCTAGGACCCACTCACTCTTGGCCCAGCTAAGAGAGGCCTGACCTTAAGGTGGTAGAAAGAACTGGGGCTTTTGGCGGGGCACGGGGGCTCACACCTGTAATCCCAGCACTTTGGGAGGCCAAGGCGGGCAGATCACAAGGTCAGGAGATTGAGACCATACTGGCCAACATGGTTAAACCCCATCTCTATTAAAATACAAAACTTGGGCGTGGTGGTGCCCACCTGTAGTCTCAGCTACTCAGGAGGCTAAGGCAGCAGAACCACTTGAACCTGGGAGGCGGAGGTTGCAGTGAGCCAAGATCACACCACTGCAGTCCAGCCTGGCGACAGCGAGACTTTGTCTCAAAAAAGAACTGGGGCTTTAAAATCAGACAAGAGTAGTTTCAAATCTCAGCTCTGACTTCTGCCGGCCAAAGGCAACCCCTTAACCTCTCCATGCCTCAGTTTCCACACCTATAAAATGGGAATAATCACATCTATTTTGCGGGTTCAATGCATGATTAAATGAGATACTGTGCGCAGAGGGCCCCACACATAGGCAGGCAAGTAGTAGGTGCTTTATAAGCTGCTGTTGAATGGTCAAGAGATGCATGATGCCTGCCCACCTCCCCTTTCTGGGATCACAGACCAGACAGACCCTCCCTCAGAACCTGTTGGGCTTCACGGCAGAGCCCACCAACAGCCTAAGCAAGAGCAGAACTGAGTGTACATGTCATGTGGATGCCGGCTGGTTGCCAAAAACGCAGTTTCCCTGGCAACAGGCAAGCAGGGGTTGCTGAGGCAGGCTGGAGAGATAGGTGGTGCTCAGAGGCACGAGGAGGTTGGGAGGCGGGAGGTGGCAGGAGGGAGGGGAGGAGGGAGGGAGGCAGGCACCAAGAGGCAGCTGGGCATGAAAATCCAAGTAATAAACCACTTGGCGCTTGGGAGAACCTCACTTCAAGGGCATTAGGCGTGGGGATGGTGGGGTGGCCCTGGGGACGAGTTCAAGGGGTCTTTGAGCCAGAAATAGGCTGGGTCTGGGCAGAGGGGCTTTCAACCTGCCTCCTTGTAGGAAAGGGACCAGGGTTGCCCCAGGAGGAAGCCCCATTTCCAGTGGGGAGAAACTTCCAAGGCCTGCCCTAGCTTGTGTGGCCTTCATACCTGCCTGGAGCACCAGGTACCCCCACTACCCTGGCACGCCTGTGCCCTCCACCCTCCACCCACTCAAGCCCAGACCCCTGTGAGGTCTTGAGATCTGACAGTCTCTCTGAGCTGGATGTTTCTGGTCACAGAGAGAAGGGAGGGGAGCAGCCTCCTTGCCTGTGTCCCAGCAGAGAAGCAGGTCTGGGGACCCACGGGTGGTTCCCTCCCTCTTGTCCAGCTCAGCCAGGCTGCCCAGAACACATGAGCCCAGAGAGGGTAAGCAATGCAGGCCCCTGACCCACACAGTGGAGGAGTAGGCGAGTGAGTGAGTGGGTGAGTGGGCAAGGAGGCAGTGGTGCAGTGGGCAGGGTGGGAGCAGCTGTGGGGCTGAGGGCATGAGAGGCTGTGGAGGTGGCCACCAATTAGCAGCTGCTGAGGGAAGCCTTCTACAAGTCCTGACCTGCTGGGGTGCATCTATATGCAAGGTCTCACCTGCATCACCAGGCTGTGAAATGCAGGGTGCTGCCTTGGCAACAGGACACCCTCTGAGCCCCTGCCCCTCCTGGCCCTCCATTAGGTTTGTCTGCTGGGAGATTGCACAGGCCTTGGAGGGGGCCACTTGTGGGCTGGGCTGTGGCTGGGCTGAGCTGGGTTAGGGGATTTGGGGTAGGGGCTGGGGACTGGGCTGGGCTGGAGGTTGGGGGATGGGGCAGGGCTGGGCATTGGGGGTTGGGGGCTGGGGGTTGGGGGTTGGGGGCTGGGCTGGGCTGGGAGTTTGGGGCTGGGCTGGGGGTTGAGGGCTGGGGGCTGGGGGTTGAGGGTTGGGGGTTGGGAGCTGAGCTGGGGGCTTGGGGCTGGGCTGGGCTGGGAGATGGGCTGGGTGTTGGCAGTTGGAGGTTGGGGCTGAGCTGGGGGCTGGGAGCTGGGCTGAGCTGGGCTGGGGGCTGGGGTTGGGGGCTGTGCTGGGGCTGGGCTGGGGGTTGGGGATTGGGGGTTGGGGGTTGGGGGTTGAAGGCTGGGCTAGGGGCTGGGGCCTGGGCTGTGGCTGTTTGTCCAGCAGGACCTCCAGGCCCTTTGCCTCCTGCTGCCAGTGGGCAATGGTGCTGACCCCAGTCGTCATCCAACTGCCAGAGCTGTGAAGTCAACGGCAAGGCCTTCCTCCAGGCAGGCTGAGGCCAGAGCTGAGGTTAGCATCCCTGGGCCTGGACCTAGTCTGAGGGTCTTGGACATTGGGGGTGATGGGTGAGATTCAGGGGTGTTTTTCGGGAAGGAGTACACTCCTTGGAGAAGCAATTCAACTCTAGACCAGGCACTGGCAATGGGGAGCCCCTGGAGGCCTTCCTCACCAGGCACCAGAGCTGTGTGTTAAAAAGATCCCTCTGGCTACAGCTCAGAGCAGGAGAGGGAGCAGGAGGGACTAGAGGCTGAGAGCAAGATGGAGGACACAGGGCCGGGCAGGTCTGGGACAGAGCCACTGGGCGGGTGGGGGCTCTGAGTACTGCTGCTGAAGGAGGATGCAGACCACATCCTGACACCTCACATTTGCTCCCTTCCCTGTGCCAGGCCCCGTGGAACCCCAGATACCCTGGGAGGTAAGAACAGGCTTCTGCCCATCATAGAGCAGGTGATCCTTGAGCACCTACTGTGTGCTGGGTGCCAGGCTGGTGTGGGACGAGGAGGAAGCTCCAGACTGACAATCATCTCAGTAAATGGTGCCCATGAGGACACTGGAGGCACTCAGAGAAGGAAGACAGGGAGGCTGGGATGTGACAGGAGAGGAGGGAGGCTGCAATTTTGAAAGAAAAGTCAGGAAAAGGCTGCACTGAAAGGTCCCATGCAAGCAGAGAGCTGAATGAATAAGGGAGCAGGCTGGGCACTGTGGCTCATGCCTGAAATCCCAGCACTCTGGGAGGCCAAGGCAGGTGGATCACAAGGTCAAGAGATTGAGACCAGCCTGGCCAACATAGTAAAACCCCATCTCTACAAAAATGTAAAAATTAGCTGGACATGGTGGCAGCACCTATGGCAGGAGAATTGCTTGAACCCGGGTGGTGAAGGTTGCAGTGAGCGGAGATCAAGCCACTGCACTGCAGCCTGGTAACAGAGTGAGACTCTGTCTCAAAAAAAAAAAAACAACAAAAAAAAACCCTTGCTCATCTAACCCCATCTTGGTGTCTCTGTCTCAGAGAGCCATGATCTGTTTATGGCTTAGCAGGATCACTGACTGCTGCCAGGTGGAAAACAAACAGGGGTGGGGGTGGGGTAGGGGACATGGGGAGAGGAGAGGATAAAAATAGACCAGCTGCTTAGAGACCAACTGCAGGACTCCAGGCAAGAAATGGGACTGGCTCCCACCACTGTTAGCGCTGGGGCAGTAAGAAGAGTTGGATTCTGGATACGTCTTGAAGCAAGATTTTCTGATGGATCAGATATGGGCAGTGATTGAAAGACAGATGGAGAGAACAACTTCAACATTTCCAGTGAGCAATGGGAAGAATAAAGCAGTGATGAGGAGATGGGGGGAAGCACACAGAGGGGCAAAGAATTGGAATTTGAGACCAGGCACAGTGGCTCATGCCTGTAATCCCAGCACTTTGGGAAGCTGAGGTGGGTGGATCATTTGAGATCAGGAGTTCGAGACCAGCCTGGTCAACATGTCGAAACCCCATCTCTACAAAAATTAGCCGGGTGTGGCAGTGCACACCTATAATCCCAGCTACTCAGGAGGCTGAGGCAAGAGAATCGCTTGAACCTGGGAGGTGGAAGTTGCAGTGAGCCAAGATCTTGCTACTGCACTCCAGGCTGGGTTACAAGAGCAAGACTGTCTCAAAAAAAAAAAAAAGAAAAGAAAAATTGGAGTTTGGTTTGAGAGAGACACCATTTAGACATTCAAATGGGGTTGACTCCTGTGTTCAGAGATGTCTGGGCTGGAAATATAGAGTTGCAAGTTGTCAGGATGTAAATGGTCTTCAGAACCTTGGGGCCAAATGAGGTCACTCAGTGGAGGGAGTGAAGATGGGAGGTCGAAGGATGAGTTCCAACATTTACTTCAATCTTTGCAGGTCAGGTTTCCATTGGTTCTGGAGAAGGAACCAGCGAAAGGGACTAAGGAGGCATGGCAGCAAGGCAGGGGAAGATCAGGAGAGGGTAGAATGTTCTGGAAGCAAGTGAAGAAAGTGTGTTGAGGAGGAGGGAGAGCTCAAGGGTGTCAGATGCTGCTGATTCATCAAGGGAGGTGAGGGACGAGAACTGCCCATAGGTTTAACGATGTGGAATCAGTGAGGACTGAGAAGGAAGGTTCTGGCAAAGAGGAGGGCTGCAAGCAAACAAAGAAGAACAGAAAGGAGAGGAGAGGGGCTGAAGGTGAGAGGGACCTGACAACAGTGGAGCAACTCCTCCACCTCTGGGTTAAAGTGATTCTCCCGCCTCAGCCTCCCGAGTAGCTGGAACTACAGGCATGTGCCACCACGCCTGGCTAATTTTTTATATTTTTAGTAGAGACAGGGTTTCACCATAGGCTGGTCTTGAACTCCTGACCTCATGATCCACCCGCCTCAGACTCCCAGAGTGCTAGGATTACAGGCTTGAGCCACCAGCAACTCTGTTCTAAGGTGCTGTGGAGAAAGGGCAGGGAGCCCGAGGGAGAGGCGGGCTCAAGGAATTTCAGCCGGAAGAAGTCACGGCATGTTTGTAAGCTGTAAACCAGGATTGCACTGTTAACCCTATACTGTAGATCATGGAATGAAGACTCAGGAAGTTTAAGTAGCAGAACCAGTGAGCAAAAGAACAAGCCTTGGATGCGGGTTTTGCTGGGTCTCTCTGACTCACCCCAAATTCATGCTTTTAATCAAGTTTGCTCTTTTATTTCTAAGTTTATTTAATTTACTTATTCATTTTGAGACAAAGTCTCTGTCACCCAGGCTGGAGTGCAGTGGCATGATCTCAGCTCACTGCAACTTCTGCCTCCTGGGTTCAAGTGATTCTCCTGCCTCAGCCTCCAAGTAGCTGAGAGGCATGAACCACCAAACCCAGCTAATTTTTGTATTTTTAGTAGAGATGGGGTTTCATCATGTTGGCCAAGCTAGTCTCAAACTCTTGACCTCAGGTGATTTGCCCACCTTGGCCTCCCAAAGAATAGGTCACATTTTAAAAAAATAAATTGAAGTAGTAGCAATAGATGATTAAAAAATAAAGTGAAGCCAGCACGGTGGCTCACACCTGTAATCCCAGCACTTTGGGAGGCCGAGGTGGGTGGATCACGTGAGGTTTGGAATTCAAGACCAGCCTGACCAACATGGAGAAACCCCATCTCTACCAAAAATAAAAAATTAGCTGTGCATGGTGGCGCATGCCTGTAATCCCAGCACTTTGGGAGGCTGAGGCGGGTGGATCACGAGGTCAAGAGAGCAGGACCATTTTGGTCAACAAGGTGAAACCCCGTCTCTACTAAAAATACAAAAATTAGCTGGGCATGGTGGTGCACACCTGTAGTCCCAGCTAAGGGAGGAGAATTGCTTGAACCCAGGAGGTGGAGGTTGCGGTGAGCCGAGATCGCGCCATTGCACTGCAGCCTGGGTAACAAGAGGGGAACACCATCTCAAAAAAAAAGAAAGAAAGAAAAGAAAGTGAAAATGGGGACAACACCTATACCCCAAAGTTTTATTAAGAGGGTTGATAAAATATAGCAGGTGCAAAGTCCTGCCATGATGCCTGGCACATAGTAGGTACACAACAAATGGCACTTGATATCATCGTCTCTGTGAGTGCCATTGTCCTCTGCCCAGGTCCAATCCCAGTGGGTAGACCCTTGTGTCAAAGGCTCAGCAAAGTCCTATGATTGCTCCTCTCCAAGCTGCCTCGCAACCCTGCAAGCAGGTAGCTCTCTTCAGAGAAGTCAGGCTGAGTCCTAGCAGCTTCTAAACCCAGGAAGAAAGGGAGCTCTACTTTTCAAAAGAGCTCTTCTATTAAAAATAATCCCATAGAAGGATATTTATTCGTGTGGGAAGGATGTTCATGAAAAAATTGCTCTATTACTTCAATTAAAAAAGAAGGATGTGTGAGTGTGTATGGGTTTCTTTGTATATATTTATAGAAAAAATATTGAAAAATATATTAATCAATGTTACTAGCATTTATCCTGGAAGAAGATGGGATTAGGATGCTAGTTATAATATATATATATAATACATATATATATATTTCACATATGTGTACGCTGGGGAGAGGAAAAGTGAGAGTGAGAGGGAGAGAGAGAGAAAATATTTTCATCTAACAGTTGACACCAGAATCCCTGGTAGGGAAAATACCACCACGAGATGCTGGGAGACAGGAGAGAATATGAGGAAGGCTCTGGCCACGTGCGAAGCCGTGGCTGATGGAAATTCCCCAGGGCAGAGAGGCTGAGAGCCCTCTGAGAAATGTCGTTTTCCACTTTGGAACTAACTGTTGGCACTTCCCCACAGGGAGGTTTCCTTGGCCTCGATGCTAGACAATGCGTCCTCTGTGTGGAGTTTGGTAGTGTAGTTAGAGTGAGTTGATGTTGTGGGGACAGAAACTGCAGCACGTGTGAGGAGAACCCAAGTGCCCACGCAGCCAGGGATCATGTACCTGCAGAAACCACAGGGCCCCAGAAGGGCTCTGTGCCTCCCGGGCATGGAGTGGAGAGCCCACCTGGCAGTGCCAGATCTCATGGGATGGGGACCCCAGCTGGCACTGGGTGGCATTTGTTCTTCACTTGCTCTGCTTGGAGCATATGTTGCTCATGGAGCTGAAAGGAGCATAGCAAGAAGAGTATTCCCTGCCCTCCTGAGCCCCAGCTACTGGGCCGAGGGCCACGTGCTGACCGGCAGCCTGGCCTCCTCATCCCCTATGCCACAGCCACACCCATATCTCCAGGAAGATCGTTTCAGAGAATGCCTAGGACACAGCAGGGAGTGGAGCAAACAGGGTCCCAACCCATGTCGCCGCTATGATGGCGACCGCGTGTGCCAGGATGGGAGAGAGCAAATAGTTAAAAATCACTGATGTATTAATGGTGTGGGATGGCATCTGACCTCTTCCTCTTTTTGTGATTTGTGTTGTTTGTGCAATAAAAACAGGAGGAAGTGGGGAGAGTTGTTTGGTCAGATGAAGGAGCTTTCTTCACCCTCACCAACTTGTGCCCTTACTTGTTCCAGAGTGAGGGGCCATGTCAAGGAGGGGAGCAGGGCATGGGGGGAACCTGGCATTTGTATGCTTTTCAGGGGGCCTGCACATGTCATCTCTTTTCAGCTTCACAGACATTCCACAAGGTGGGAATTGTTTCTATTTTACAGATGAGGGACTTGAGGCTAGGAGAAGTCACACAGCTGGTATAAGACTGAAGAAGGGGGCTAGGCACAGTGGCTCATGCCTGTAGTCCCAGCACTTTGGGAGGCAGAGGTGGGCTGATCATGCGGTCAGGAGTTCAAGACCAGCCCTCTACTAAAAGTACAAAATTACCCACGCATGGTGGCGTGCGCCTGCAATCCCAGATACTCAGGAGGCTGAAGCAAGAGAATCGCTCGAACCTGGGAGCCAGAGGTTGCAGTGAGCCGAGATCGTACCACTGCAATCCAGCCTGGGTGACAGAGCAAGAATCTGTCTGAAAGAAAGAAACATAAGAAAGAAAGAAAGAAAGAAAGAAAGAAAGAAAGAAAAGAAAGAAAGAAAGAAAGAAAGAAAGAGAGAAAGAAAGAGCAGTGGAGGGAGCCTGGGCGCCGGGACTCACTGTGTAGACGTATTCTGCAGGAGGCTGTTTGGGGCTGCTGGCAGATCTTGGAGCTGGGCACTTCCTGGTGGGATCCTTCCGTGGAGCCTGCATCTGCCTCTGTAGAGAGAAAGGAGTCAGAGCCAGGGATGAGTGGCTCCCATCTTCCTCCCCATGTAGACCTCATCAGAGGAAAGGATGGCAGATTGTCATGAGAGATTTATTGCTCCGTCCCTCCCACTCACCCTCTCCAGTGAAACATGGTGAATGCCTCCAAGACCTGCATCAAGCCACTCATGCACCTGGAGACACAGGAAATGGAAAAGGCCCACACGAGGTGTGGTCTGTGCACAGAGCACCTGGCTTGTAGGGATGCAAGCTGCTGGACCCGGTGCCAGTGGGGCAGGGCCCAGAAACCAAGCCAGCTGTTGTGGGTGGGCCTTTAGTGGTGCCAGCCAGGCCTGGTGTCCAGTCCTGCCATGCTGTCACTCACTGGCTCTGGCCTCGAGCAAGCCAGTTCCCCTCTCTGGGCCCTGGTTTCTTTTTTCTATTTTTATTTTTGAGAAGGAATTTCGCTCTTGTTGCCCAGGGCCCAATCTTGGCTCACTGCAACCTCCACCTGCTAGGTTCAAGCGATTTTCCTGCCTCAGCTTCCCAAGTAGCTGGGACTGCAGGTGTGTGCCAACACGGCTGGCTAATTTTGTATTGAGACAGTGTTTCACGATATTGGCCAGGCTGGTCTTTAACTCCTGACCTCAGGTGATCTGCTTACCTTAGCCTCCTAAAGTGCTGGGATTACAGGCGTGAGCCACCATGCCTGGTGGTGGGTCTTGGTTTCCTCAGCAATAACCCTCCTTTGTGAGATTGTTGCTAAAATTCAAGGGGAACACAGGAAATAGGTGCCTGGTGCTAAGGAGGTGGCGCTTAGGACGTCCTTGTCAACCAACACACACTTGATAGCACCGGTGAACCAGGCAGTGTGAGGAAGCGGGCACCGTCCCTAGACTCCTGAAGTTTAGGGACCAGTGAAGAGATAGAGGGTGAACCCGCAGTTTTGCCAAAACATGGTATGTGGGCTGATTGTGGGTCATGGAGCCTCTGGCACATGAGGAGGAAACCAGTGCCCCACTGGGCAGAAGCAATATTGAAGGTGAAATCCTGAGGGCAAGTTCATTTAGCAAGAGAGGGAGGAGGGAGCCCCAGGAGGGAACAGCAGGTGCCAAGGCCTGGTGGTCCTGAGGCACTTAGAGAAGGTCAACGTAGGCTGGGCATGGTGGCTCACACCTGTAATCCCAGCACTTTGGGAGGCTGAGGTGGGCAGATCATGAGGTCAGAAGTTCAAGACCAACCTGGTCAACATGGCAAAACCCCCTCTCTACTAAAACTACAAAAATTAGCCAGGCGTGGTGGCGGGTACCTGTAATCCCAGCTACTTGGGAGGCTGAGGCAGGAGAATCACTTGAACGAGGAGGCAGAGGTTGCAGTGAGCCAAGATCATGCCACTGTACTCCAGCCTGGTGATGAGATCCCATCTCAAAAAAAAAAAAAAAGAAAAAGAGAGAAGGTCAGTATGGCCAGATAGGAGAGCCTGCCCGGGAGGGGCCAGAGTGGCCGTGCAGGCTTCGTGAAGAGCACAGGAGATAACTGAGGGCTGGAAGTGGGAGCCTGGTCACAGCTGCACTGGAGAAATGCCTGGAGTGCTAATGGTCACGGTGGAGGCTGGGCCTGGCCTGCTGGGAAGGTGAAGCCTAGGCAGGTCAGGAGGCAGTGCAGGCAGCCCTCTGGAGGCAGAGGGAGGTGGCCTGGACGTCCCAGCTCATTGCAGGCACTACACTGTCACTGCTGACAGTGGAGCCACAACTGCCTCATCTCAGGGCAGGAGCTAATTAAAAACCCTGGCCCCCTGCCAAACCCCACCCATTTACTGCAGGATTAGCTGTTGAGAGCTACTTCACTCTCAGGCAGAAGCCGGTGCCACCCCCAGTCACAGCACATAATGGCTCAGAGCATGGAGCCAGGTAGGACTCCAAACACCAGACCTGCCTTCTCTCATGGGCCTCTCCACAAAGCTGCAGGCGAGTCTTTCCATCATCTCGCATCTGTACCTGATGGAGAGGAGGCTCAGAGAGGGCAGGTGACTTGCCGAGGCCACGAAGCCAGGAAGTGGCAGAGGCAAGTCTGTGTTTCACCAAGATACCGACGAGACAAGAGCTGGAGTTTCCACTCCTCTGCTTTGTTAGAACTTGTAAGCCTCACAGACTCAGAGAAGTGCTGGCGTCTGTGTAGCACTTGATAGTTTACAAAGTCTGCTGGGACTTGTCCTTATTTTCATTTAATTCTCAAAACAGCCTGAGGAGGTGGGCATGGAATTGTTCATTTAACAGAGAGGGGGCCAGGTACAGTGGCTCACACCTGTAATCCTAGCACTTTGAGAGGCCAAGGCAGGTGGATCACTTGAGGTCAGGAGTTCAAGACCAGCCTGGCCAGCATAGCAAAACCTCGTCTCTACTAAAATTACAAAAATTAGCTGGGTATGGTAGCTGGCATCTGTAGTCTCAGCTACTTGGGAGGCTGAGACAGGAGAATCACTTGAACCTGGGAGGCAGAGGTTGCAGTGAGGTGAGATTGTGACATTGCACTCCAGCCTGGACAAAAGGAAAACAAAACAGAACAAAACAAAACAAACAGAGGGGGGAAACTGAGGCTTGTCCATCTGGTAAAGAGCTGTCCTTGGATCAAACGCAGATGTGTGTCCTCAAATCCAGGGTCCCCTCCCCTGCACCACCTGCTTCTTGAGGGCATTGTCATAGTCAGAGGCTGTGCTCCACCCCAGGGTACCTCGGTGCCTCCTCTTGTTGGGAAGCTGGGGACCTGGTGTCTGTGTCCTCACTGAGCCAGCTGGCTTGGACACCGCCAGGGTTAAGGATGTGAACTCACGGGCAGTGGGTCTCCTGCAAGGCTGACCTGGACTCAGCTCTTTGGCCCTGCCAGGGCTGGAAAGCAGGGTCCCTGGAGCTCAGCTGTCAGTGTCCCTCCCTGGTCCTGGGCCTGGGCTAGGCAGGGAGGACCCCATGGTGAGAGAGACCCAGGCCTGGACTCAGTGAGACTGCTGGGGCTGCCAGAGAGGTGAGTGCCACTGCAGGGCCCCAGGAAGCCCAGGTCTGCAGGGGACTGCAGCAGTCTCAGGGGCATCTTGCACTGTCTTCTGAAAACACAGGAGGGATTTCTAAGCTCTCCGAGTCTGAGAAGATGTCTGAGGCATGGCGAACAGCTTGGGGGCAGGAGTGTCTCGATGTATTAGGGATGCACAGAGGGATGGACAGTCAGACGGAAAGGAGATGAGCTGCAGGCCAGTGCAAGTGGGGCCATGGGAGGTCAAATGCCACAGTGTCAACCTGGAGGGCAGTGGGGGCAGCAGCGCAGGGAAGTGGCAGCAGTTGCATTGTATAAGCCTCCCTCTGCTGCCACAGGTGTGGGGTAGACTGCAGGTTGGGGCTGGCAAGGGGAGGAGGCAGGATCTCCAGGAAAGAGGCCTCCTAGGGGTGCTGGGGAGGCTGGGCCGGGGCAAGGGGTCCTGTGGAACAGGGAGGGAGCCTTTTTGAAAACTCAGATGGATGCTGTTGCACTATGGGGGCAGGGCTCCACCCCTGCCCATCCTGCCCACTGAGTGCTCTGTCCTTGGGGCCAGCATTTGCCCTTTCAACTCTGGTTTTCAGATGAATCACTGATGTGGCTTCTCCCACAGTGCCCAGTTCTCTGTGGCCCAAGCCTCTCTCCCTAGTAGACAGTGGTGGGGCAGGGTGTTACCAGGCATGGGCTGAGATCCAGGTCTGAACACCAGGGATGCTGCCATCAGCAGCTCAGGATGCCTGTCAGGCCTCAGTTTCCTCCTCTGTAAAATGGGAGCGATAATGTGGCCTTGCCTACCTCACACTCTGGCCACTTCTGATTTATCTTCCAGGTCCTCATGTGCATTTAACCTGTCATTCCTTCCACAAGCATGCACTGCATGCCAGGCTCCCCAGCTACTGGAGACACTCAGTTTCCCTCCCCCTCCCCAGGCCCCGGCAAGGGTGATGCTTTGGCAGGACAGACAGCATAGAGACAAGCCAGGGGCCAGGCATGGTGGTTCACACATCCCAGCACTTTGGGAGGCTGAGGTGGGCAGATTACCAGGTCAGGAGTTTGAGACTAGCCTGACCAATATGATGAAACTCATCTCTACTGAAAAAAACACAAAAATTAGCCGGGCATGGTGGAACATGCCTGTAATCCTAGCTGTGGCTTGAACCCGGGAGGCAGAGGTTGCAGTGAGCTGAGATTTTGCCACTACACTCCAGCCTGGGCAACAGAGTGAGACTCTGTTGCAAAAAAAAAAAAAAAAAAAAAGATGGAAGCCAGGGCATGGCAACAGACACCCTTATTCCAGGAGACACTGATGGAACCCTGAGCCCTGGATGCCCAGGAAGCCCCAGGGAAAGGGCTGGATCCTGGACAGACTGAGTGCAGGGCTCACTGAGGGGTGGGTGGGAGAGAAAAGAGCAAACACAACTCCAGGGTTTGGGCCTGAGCATCGGGAGCACATTTGCTGGGACTCAGAGGGCTTGGGGACGAGGAGCAGTGCTCTGGATGGGCAGTGCCCTCAGGCCCCATACAGGGCTGTGGAGCATGGTCTGGAGCTTGGGGAGGGGTCTGAGCAGCAGATTCTGTTGAGGGGGAATGGGCCTGCAGAGCAGAGCCTTCATCGCAGGAGCACAGGAAGAAAACAGAAGGGCTCGGAGGAAGGGCCCCGGCCATGCCAGAGGCCAGAGGTCACCAAGACAAGGGTGACCTAGCAAAGCTGCCTGTGGGGTGGAGCAAAACCAGTAGGGCAGCAGGTCCTGGAACCAAGAGGAGGAGTGTGCTGTGAGGCGGGAGGCCTGCTGTGTCCAATGCCATGAGAGGAGGAGGGTCAGCTGCAGGGAGCACCTGCTCTGAGAAGACCACTTTGACACTAAAGCCAGCCGGGAGCCCCCAAACCTGCTCTAATTGTCGGAATCATGGCGATCACTGCCCTTCCGAGGGAGAGACCTCAAAGCACCTTAGAGCCAGACCGGCTCCTCTGTGCCTTCCTTTGCTTG